GATCACAGCGGCGGCGCCCGAGGGTGAGAAGCTGCACGTCGGCAACGTCAAGGAGCTCTTTGCCGACGGCCGCGCCCTGCCCATCCTCGTCAACGCCATCCAGCCTGGCTCGGTGGACGTGAAGGCCCTTGACGTCAAGCGGCCCGTCGAAAACAACAAACTCGCACTGCGCGTCGCTACCGAGGTAAACTTCAGCCGCACACGCACGCACGCACCGCACGCACATCGCACACGCACGCGAAACTTACGTTTCTCCCATAAAACTGCACAGAAATTGGCGGTGCCGGCGCTGATCGAGGGCGACGACCTTGCGAATGGAGCCGACGTGGACGGTCTGTCGCTCATCCTCTACCTGAGCTACCTCAAGCAGGCCGATGCGGGCAAGGCGCAGGCGAAGGAGGCCGTCGTCGAGGCCGAGAAGAAGCAGCCCAAGGACGACAGCAAACAGGGAGAGGGCAGGAATGCGCAGAATGCGACGGATGCAGAGGTGGAGGCCAAGCAGGAGGTGGAAAAGAGCGAAGCAAAGGAAGACAGCGAAAGCTATGCGAAGATCCACGAGCAGCCGCGGAAGAACGAAGCGGAAAAGAGCGTAGCCGAGACGAAGGTCGAGACTCGCGCGAACGAAGTTGCGGTAGCGGAGAGGAAAGAGGGACAGACGGCTGCTATCGAGGCTCATGCGGCACCCAGTGCCGAGAGCGAGCCTGCGGCCAAACGACCACCCGCCAGCGCGGCCGCGCCATCCGCCGATTCGGCCGTTGCTGCGGCCCTTGCGGTGAGCGAGAAGAGCGAAGACCGTGGGCTCCAAGCCCAGACTCCAGCCAAGGACGTGGCCTCGCCCGCGGCGCCTGTGGCGGCGGAAGCTAAGGCGCTTTCGCTCGACGCGGTCAAGCCCTCGCCGGCGGTGGACGCCAAGACCGTGCCAGACGTGGCCACGACGGTCGCGCCCAATGGGGCGGCGGAGGATACTGTGAAGGAGGCGGCGGTGACGGCGCAGGCCAAGAACGAAGGCGGAGAGGCGGCCAAACCGGAGGAGGAGGAGAGCGAAGGAAGCAAGAAAAAGAAGAAGGAGAAGAAGGAGAAGTCGGGCAAGAAGAAGACGAAGAAGACGAAGAAGAGCAAGGATCCCGCCAACGGAGAGGAGAACAACGATGGCGACGGCGGTGACAAGAAGTCGAAGAAAAAGAAGAAGCTGAAGAAGAAGACGTCGTCGCTGGCAGCCAAGAAGACCGACGAGGCCGTTGAGCAGACCACATCGCCGGCTCCCGAGGCCACTGTCGCAGAGGCGCCCGCGACCAGCCCGAGCCCTAAGGAGGTACGTGACCAGGCCCTTTGACGGCTCAAATTGAGCTCATGGTGTGGTCTTCGTTCGAATTGCAGGCCGAGGCGCCGCCCGCCAAGAAGGTGCTCGCGCCCCTGCCCCACTCTCGCCTTCCAGCCCGCGCGGGCGAGGACCTGTCCTACCTGGTCGGGGTACGTCCGACGCACACGCCTCGCCCTTCGTTCTTTTCTTCGTTTTCGTTTTTTTATGTTTTATTGTTAATTACAAACATTCAAACTTTATTGTACTATGTGTGCAGGGTTCGGCGCCGACCAAGAAGGCAGCCAGTCTTCAGCTGGCCGCCATCCCCGAGCGAAAGAAGCCCGCGCCGCCGGCCACCGTCTCCGCCGATGTCGATCCCGTGAGCGCCTTCTGGTACTCGTGAGCAGTTGCCCTATTTTTTGTTAAGTTTGTTTTTTACTTGCAAAATCGGTTTTACAACACGTTCAGAGTTGTGCCAACACTGCGCGATGATGGCATGAGACCATGAGAACTGTGAGAAATGACCTGGCTCTACAGAGCCTTGATGGCATTGACGATCTCCTTGCCGGTGGCCAGGTCGGGAAAGAAGGCCAGGTGCGTGCCGGCGACGGTGGCGTCGCGCAGGTTGTTGTCGCCCCAGAGCTCCACCTTGCCCTGCGTCTGCCGGAACACGCCCCAGTCGACCCCAGCCGGCAGCTGGACCTCAGTCACCTCCACACCCGGCGCGAAGTTGACCTGCAGGCCGGTTGGTTAGCACCACTTTTTTTTTGGCGGCCAAGGGTGGTGGAGGGGGGGGGTACGGAGCGGGTGAGAGGGGAGCGGGGAGGTGCAAAGGCGGTGACGAGCTCGATGAAGGCCTCGACCGTGGCATGGTCACTGATGGCCTTGCTCGCCGTCACTTGGCCCCCCACTCGCCTGGTCACCACCAACTGCAAAGGTCTTGCCTCGTGTTGTTCCATCTTCAGACAATGAGCAATGAACGTTGCTTTTGGTGTGAAACACTGCGGAGTTGAAATGCACAAGATTATTTGGTTTAAAAAAACCAATTCTACGTGGCTGGGCTGAACGCCGTACAGCTCCACGCGTGGACTAGAACTGGTAGACCTTGATGGAGTTGAAACGCTAGAAGGCGTCGTTGTAGGCGCCCGGCGCGTTCCTGCACCTGGTTTGGCATCCCTGCGGGGTAAAGCGGTCGACAGCATCATGTAACGTACGCACATATCCAGCACGGCTGATGTGGGGTACGTACTGGCCCAGTTACCGCAGAGGTTGATGTTGACGTTGATGAGGTGCATGTCGAAGAAGAGGCTCGGCGAGCAGTCGCTACCCATGTTGAATGCCGCCACAGGGCTGGTGGTGCAGTGACATTGGCCGTTGCATCAGTTCCATATCGTTCAGGGCTGCAGAGAAGGGTGAAGAGGAAGGATCACGTAGGTGCCCCAGGTGGACGGAATGGGGTTACCCGACAGGATGTCAGCAGGGATGCTGTTGCGAGGGAAGAACCACACCTTGATCACTGCAACCAACCACGATGAGTGAGATGCTGAACGATGATGTCGATCTCGCCGCCAGAAACCAGTTGGGGCCAAGCATCCGCAGGGAACGTACCGACGGTGAGCGAGGTCTCGGCGGGAAGAGGTCCCCATGAGACTCGTACGCCGGTCCGTTGCTCAGCCTCCTGCCTCGAGCACTCAGCGTGGAATTAGCAAGCACGCCCGGTTCGGAGAGCGGACCTGTGCAGCAGCTAAAGGACTCGAGCGACACGGACCGTCCTCCATGATGGGAAGGAGAGGAACAGGTGCAACTATTCCGAAGCCACAAATAGCAAGTAGCACTTTCGGTCGAAAGTAAGACGAGTTCTTGCGTCGTCCTTTATGACATAGGAGGAATGGCAATTTCTTACTCTGATCCAGCACTGATCTACGATAGATCGAAAACCAGTGCTTCCGCAGAACCTCAGTTCTGTTGCAGAGGGGGAATGAGAATGAGGCCACTTCTCAGAACTTACTTTTATCCCCTCGCACCTCCCCGTGCTCTTCCCTCAACCCTTCCCGCAGACTCACCCTGGCCGCCATCCGACTTGGCCACCTCCCGCCCCTGGCGCACTACATAATGAGGCCCTCCGCTCTCATTGCTTTCATCAAACAACCACAACACACACCAACACAACCCAATGTTCCGTCGATCGAAGAAGCATCAGGCTGAGTCGGTGCCCACCGCAACCATGGCCGCCAACACCGCAGCGCAGGTAATCAAGAAGGAGCCCGTGGTACAGCGGCATGTGGTGCACGAGCACCCGGTCATAGTCCACCGCGAACACCACGTACAGCCCATCATCCACGAGAAGGTCCGGCACATCAAGCCCGTGCACCGCATGGAGATCACCACAGAACGCCCCATCATCACCAGGGTACGTTGTCCACACCGCACACAGCACACAGCACACAGCACACAACTCACGACACACGCGTGAGCAGGAGGTGATTGTTCAGGACTCAGGTGTGGTGGCGCACAAGCCAACCGTGGGACAGAAGCTGAAGGGCACGGTGAAGGAGCTGAGCGGCGCCATCACCCGCAACCCGGCCAAGAAGGAGGAGGGCCGCATGCTCAAGCGCGGCATGGCCACCACCCAGCCCGCCTACATGTAGTCCAGAACATATTACTATTTTGATAAAACAAATAAATCTTGAAACACTCTAATGTTTGCATTTATCGCCAATTAAACGTGCGACCTAGAGCCGGGCCTTGGTGGCCGGGTACTGCTTCCTCCTGCCGGCGATGATGGAGGAGCTCGTGCTGCGTCGTGGGAGGTCATCCGCGTGAGCCGACCAACTGTTCGGTCCCGCTGCCGCAGACACAGAACCCGCCGCAGCGGGTTCATCTGCTGGCGCCGCGCCGTTGTCATTGTCGTCATCGACCGTGTCAATAGTAGGTGATGGTGGTGGTGGTGATGAAGGTGGTGTGGTGGCGGAAGAAGGGGTGGCGTCAGGCGAGGCGGGGCTCAACGAGGCCAGCTCGAGCTCGCGCACGTCCTGATACGACAGATCGATCCAGTCATCCATAGAACAGAAGGCCAGCTGATGCGACGCGAGATAGATCTCTCGCAGCACCTGCGCCACGCAAGGAGATGGAATTGTTAAGATCGTCATTGTTCGGTTGAGCTCTGAACAAACGAACGTCACTGTCATGATCACGATCGCCGTACCTGGTGGATGTATCGCTCCACGCGACCGGGGAAGGTCCACCGCGGGTAGTTGAAGCTGACGCTCACCAGCTTGTACGCACACATGATCGGCTTTGACTTTTCCTGAATCGCGGCCGCGGTCCAGGGAGCATTGGAGTAGATCAATGCGTTGTCGCACACGCACGACCGCACACACACACACACACACACACACACACACACACACACACACACACACACACGCACACATCGTTACCGCACACGCACACGAGTACGTGAACATTAAAGGAGAGCGTACCCAGGCTCCCTTGAGCGGCCCTCGCTTGGTTTTGGAGGACGAGAAGGAGGCCGGGTGCATGGTGGGAATGTAGTTCTTGCCTGCGGCCCCCTTGACCTGCTCCTTGGCTATGTTGATGTAGTCCACCTCCGCCGCCTCGCTTTCCTTTCCGTGCGCCTACACACGCGACACACGAGCTATTGATGATGTACAGCACACACGTGCGGCACATGAGGTGAAGAAGCCTACCCGCGAGGAGGTGCCAGCGTCATCGATAAACTTTGTACAAGCGGTGACAGTGATCCCCGAACCCAACAGAGGACACTGTAAACAATGTTTAGCCTAATGACACACGCACACGCACACGCACACGCACACGCACACGCACACGCACGACCCACGACCCACGACCCACGACCCACGACCCACGACCCACGACCCACGACCCACGACCCACGACCCACGACCCACGACCCACGACCCACGACCCACGACCCACGACCCACGACCCACGACCCACGACCCACGACCCGACACGCAGTACCGTATAGACGGTTTTGATGTAGGGATAGGCGTCCCAGGTCTTCTCCTCGATGGTGAGCGCGTTGTGGGGCAGCAGCTTGCGGGTCCAGGGCGGGAGGCCCTCGACGTGAAACTCGCGCACGCGGTAGACGCCCCGGGTGCCCTGCTTCTTGTCCTCGTAGGGTCGGGCCTCGCGCGTCACCACCTCGGTGCCGGTCGATCGCCCCTCGCGCCCCGTACGCACCACCATGTACACATGGCCCACCCTGAACTGCAGTGCCCATGACACGACACGACACGGCACGATACGCACGACATAGCACACGGTGAGTTTGCTTTGTGCCCAGAAAGACCGAGAGGCCGTAGGCGTAGGCGTTTGGGGGGGACCTCATCCACGGTAAATGGCAAGGGGATTCGGCTGCCACACGATTAGGGATTAGCACGAATCTATTGTTCTCGTCATGCACAGGGAGAAAGAATGTACGCACTACTCCTTGGCCAACACCATCTTTTGCTAAGACGTTCGTCTTCTTGTTGATCTCGTTGGCTGCCCACGTCAGCAAAAAGAATATCAGCCAAAAAGAAAAAAGAAAAAAGTTGATTTATTTAAAAAACACAAAGATGAAGGGAGGACTGGTGGTGTTGTTGGTGGCAATTGTGGCGGTGTGGTGCGTCGGCTCAGGCCGAGCAACGATGCCTCAGGCCGCGGCTGCGGCGGGCGGGCGCATGGCGCGGGAATTCGAAGATCGAGGCACCCTGTGGGTCGGGCGACCCAAGCGGGGCGAGCAGCTCGAGCTGGGCGGCCACAAGGGCGTGTCCTACCACATCGCCGGCCTTCGCCCCGGCGCCTCCTACGAAGCCCGCCTCTCCTACCCTGCCTTCGTACCTTACCCTCCCATCATTTATTTTATTTTATTCCTTTTTCATTTGTAATTTACAATTTTATTGATTCTTTTATTTGAAGATAAATTTTAAAAAAAATGGAAAATGGTGACCTTACATTGGGGTCGTGGGCAGAACTCGGCGGCGTTCACGGTGATGTTTGCGCCGGCGGCGGAGGGACCACAAGACGACGATGGCGACGATAGGGCCGAGGGGCGCAGCAGCGGCTCGAGCCGGTCGCTGCTCAACGTGGTGCAGCGCAGGTTCACGGCGCCCGTCACGGTGACCGGTCCCGACGGCGCCAGCGTGCCCGTGCCCGAGCTTGAGGACGGCATCGGCTTCGTCATGTTCGTGTCGGCCGTGCGCGAGGGCGTTGCCGCGCCCGGCTACGTGGACGACCACATCATCTCCTACAGCATCGGTACCGCTGCGTCGCGTCGCTCTTCGCTCTTCTGCCCTCGTTCTCTAGTCTCTTTTCGTTCTTTGCTGAATGATGACGTTGGAGTGCGCAGTGGTGGAAGAGCTGGCACTTCCACAGTACGGCGGCCTGCCCGGCGGCACCCTGGGCGTGGCGGCCATGTCCGTCGGCCTGATCGGCTTCGCTGCCTACGGCGCCACCAAGCTGCGTCGCATCCTCCTCATCCGTGCTCGTGGTACGCACCGCGACAATCACGCACCATCATTTCGTGTTTATTACCAACCTCACACCGCACGCGCACACGCACACGCACACGCACACGCACACGCAGGCACCAAGATCCAGTGATCGTGCATCGATTCAGATGGGAAGATTTATTTAACAACAAGAAACGGAAGGTCACGGTCGCCTTCTCTTCTCCTCACCCGTCGTTTTCCAAGGTCGATAGATGATGATCCATCGTTTTCACTTCTTCGCTTGTCGTCCCCTTCTACTTTTTGTTGTTGTTCCGGGTCTGGCTCGGCTCAGTTGGTGAGGTGGCCCTTGGGCTGGTACGCGTAGGCCTGCGTCCTTCGCGGACCGGGACGCTGCTGGTAGGCGGCCTGTTCGGTCAACCGCACACACGACGACACAACAATGAGCCCACATGCGATCTCCACACCAAGCACACACGAAAGAGAGGGGGCGTACCTGCGGCCAGTACTGCCTGCCATCAGGTCCCTGCGCGGGCTGGATCATGTGCTGCTGCAGCTCCTACGCACCGACCACAAAAAAATCACGCAGGTGGTGAGTGGGTGGGCACCGATGAAGTGATTTGTTGTGGTTTATTTCTGCCAGAGCGGCGGCCTCTCAGCAACACACAAGAAGAGAGTGGTGGTGGTGACGATGATGATGATTTGGTGGAAGTCGATATGTTCAGTGGTTGAAGGAAGGAGTATGCCATGTAAAGATTTGGAATTCGTGGTATGTGTTTTGGTCCCGCCCGCGCACTGTTGGGTGGGCTGGCCAGCCTTACACGTCCGCAGTATCATATGACAGATAATACTGCGAGAGCGCGAGGGGAAAGAGAAGAAGAAGAAGAAGAAGAAGAGGGGATGTATCAGCCACCACCACTTCCTCCCCAATTCAAAAAAAAACGCCAGAGAGAGAGGTGACGATGTCGTGGGAACACTTTTGAGAAATGAATGATGTCGATGTCGGGTGAGCTGGCAGTGGTGAGTCGTGGATGTGATTTGTTTGATAAGGGACGGATGTGTGACTGTACCTGCTGAGGGCTGGGCTCGCGCGCTTGGGGCGCAACTGCGCCAGCGTGGGGACCAGGGCTGTACTGCAGAGAATTGTAGAATTGATGCGCCTGCGTTGTTTGATTGGTTGTTTGATTGATTCGTTGGTTGGATCGGTTGGTTATATGTGGAAGTGCGAGAACGTGGCGGACACGAGCGCGCTAGAGTGAGCGAGGGTAAAGGTTGTGGGGTACCTGTTGGGCGGTCATCATGTATTGTACAGGTTGCCAGGCGCCCTGCGGGCCGACGGGCATCATCACCTGCACGGGGAAGAGGGCCTGCTGCCTGCCTCCCCTGCCACCGCCGATGCCCATGCCCATGCCTTGCATGCCACCACCTACCACCGCCGTGACGTCAGCAACACGACACACACGACACACACCACACACACAACACGTACGAGGGCGGCCAGGGGCCTTTTGTTGTTGCTGCTGCTGCTGCTTCTTTTTCTTGTTGGAGGGCTTCTTGCCGTAGTTGCACTGGATGCGCACGCCGCAGATGGGGCTGTTGTTGAGGGTGGTGATGGCCCGCGCGGCCGAGTTCTCGCCGGCGTCGGTGTCGTCGTAGTAGATGAAGCCGAAGCCGCGGAGCTGGCCCTGGTTGCGGGGCAGGTTGACGCTCATGACGGTGCCGAACTCCTCGAACTTGGCGATGACCTCGCTCTCGGTCAGGGCCTCGCTCTCGGCCGGCTCGAACTGGATGTGGACGCAGTGCCTCTGGTAGTTGGCGTCGCCCCAGCCGATGCGAATCGCGCGCGCGCCCAGCACCTTGTTGTTCATCTCGCGCTTGGCCATCTCGGCGTGCTTGCGGTGACGGAACCGCACGAAGCCGTAGTTGCGGTTCTTCACGAACGTCTCCTCCTCGTAGATCGGCCCGAACTGGCGGAACACCTCGCGCAGCTGGGCCGACGTGATCGACGGATCGAGGTCACCGATGAACAGGTTCGTGTTCTTCTGCGCCCACCCGATCCTGATCGCGCGCCCTCCCACCACCTGCCTGTGCATCGCCTTCTTCGCTGCGCCCGCATCCTCCCTGCGTTTGTTTCAACGCAAACACGACACACGCCGCACGACATGATGCGACACGACACGCACATCACGACACACACGCACGACATGATGCGACACGACACGACACGGCGGAGGGAGCAATAAGCCAAGGAATGGGCCAATAGGGAAAAATGAAAGAAAAATAAAGAAGGAGTGGAAGCAAGCAGGTGGTACAGACCTGGACTTGAGAAGAACGAAGCCGTAGCCGAGCGAGTAGTTGGTGACGCGGTCGCGTTTGATCTCGACGCTGATGACGCCAAACGGATCGAACGCCTCGCGCAACTGATCTTCGTTCAGGCCGCGCGCAAGATCGCCAATGAACAGACAACCTGCGCCCCGCCCAGCACGCGCGTGTTGGAGTGAGCGGTTGGCCGTGAAAGAACGAAGACGAAAAGGTGAAAGAACGAAAGTGGAGGGGGGGGCATACGTTCGTCATCTTCAAACTCGCCCGCCTCGGGAAGGGAATCGAGGGAGCCACTGGAGAGGTCGCCCTCGCCGCCTTCGCCAAGGAAGAATCGAAAAATCAGAATTCGTCAAAAGAGCGAAAGCGAAAGAGATGAAAAGAGACAGATGGAAAGATCGAGAGAGAGAACGAGAGCGCAAAAGAAAGAAGAAACAACAGCGTACCGTGATGGTAGTGATGAACGCCCTCACCATCGTGAGAGAGCGAGACGGCAGAGTTAAACGCGTTGGAGAGCGCGTTCTCCTCATCGCCTGAGAGAATCGAAGAGTTGTCGGCCATCATGATGGTGCAGATGTTTCTTGTTTACTGGATCGTTGGAGGATGAGATGTCGTTGGTCGAAATCGAGCGTCGATTTTCTGATGTGGGCTGGCCTCGTAAAAGGGGAGCTAAAAGGCGTCGAAGTAAAAAGAACAAAAAAGATGGGAGAGGTTCGCGAACTAGATGGAAGCCTGCTGCTGAACGACAAGATACACACTTCACCACAAGAGAGATCTCAAAATAAAACGTGCGCTCGTGTGAAGAAGGAGAGGACGAAAACGAAGAGGCAAAACGTGAGTCGGCCTGGGTGCGCGAAAGGAAGAGCGAAAACGACAAATAAAACATAAAAAATCAGCAAATTTGTTGTAATTAGCCAATCCCCGCACTCCGTCGCTCTGGAATGTCAACCATGCGGAGCTCCACATCTGTTGGGTGAGGAGACTAGCCCAATTCAAGCCCCCAATCTCTGTCTGTCAGACAAGAAGATGTTGATGGTTCCACTCCTCAGCCTCAACCACAGCAAGTGAGATCAAGAAGATGCAAGCAAGGTGGTGTGGTTTCCATTTAAGGGGGAAACAAAATAATTACATATAATTTGGATGAGGAACAAGATGGTGGGACCATGATGATGCTGACTTACTCCTCCATGGGGGCAGCGCCTTCCTCGCCTTCGCCTTCGCCCTCGCCCTCCCCGAGCTGGGTCTCTTCTTCCTCCCCCTCCTCTCCTTCGTCTCTTGTGGTGGTGGTCGAGGCCGCGGGCTCCTTGCCCTTCGAGGTCTCCTCCTCTTCCTCTTCCTCCTCTTCCGCGGGCATCAGCGGACCGGCTTCAGCTTCCGCCGACGCACGGATAATGGCCAGCGCCTTCTTCTCCGTGATGGCCTGTTGTTGTTGATGATGATGAAGATAGTGATGAAGACGAAGAATCGAGATAGGGATATGGTGGTGTAAGTGATCATGGTGCGGCAAACATAAAGGGGCAGTTTGTCACGGAGAACGAGAAGGCGTGCGCCGTACGTGAATCGAGGAGATCTTGTTCTTGAAGGTGATACCGTAGTGCTTCTTGGCCGACCGCACCAGCTCGGGCCTGAACGTGGTCGTGATGAACTGCGCCTTCTCCGCCTGGCGCTTGATCATCTCTGCCACCGCCTGTGTGTGCGTGTGTCGTGTCGTGAGCGTGCACGTTGTGTTGTTTGGCAATCGCGCAATTCTGCTGTGTCAAGCGCAGGCGAGGGAGGAGTACCGTGCGGTGCGACTGGTCCAGCGCCGAGTCAATCTCGTCAAAGAGGTAGAAGGGAGCGGGATCGCAGCGCTGGATGGCGAAGATGAGCGCCAGCGCCACGAGCGACTTCTGCCCGCCGGAGAGGTGCTGCATGTGCTGGGTCTCGCCGCCGCGGGTGAAGGCCACCTTGATCGCCACGCCGGTGTAGGCGGCGATGCGGCCCACCTCCTGGACGTCCTTGGAGCGCTGCATGACCAGCACACCCTTGCCGTCGGGCACCAGCTCGGAGAAGACCTGCGCAAAGTGCTTGGCCACGCCCTTGAACGTACGCTCGATGGCCTCGTCCTTCTTGCGATCGAGCGCCTGGATGAGCTCCGTGATTCTGTCGGCGCCGCTGTCCGACTCCTTCTTCTTGTTGAGCAGGTCGTCGTACTGCTCCGTGAACGACACGTACTGGTCCAAGGCCTTCTTGTTCACCTGCGAGTAACCCTGCAGCTCGCGGTTGACCTAGTTGATGATGAACAATTGTTCACATGCGTGAGAACGACCGCCATAGGAACAACAA